ACCATAGCAAAGTAATAAAAAAATTTGATACAATATTTTCTCGTTGCACGTCATTTTTACCAAGAGCACTCTTGCATTTTCGGAGAAATGCGTAAAATTATTTTTAACGAGACTTAACGATTATCGTTCGATTTGTCAATCAAGTTTGAGTGATGAAGCTGAACCAACTTTCACTATAATTTGAGTTTAGTTTTTTAATTTGACGATCTATTAAACTAATAAGACCTTTCTTTACTAATGGCCGATTTTTTTGATTAATTTTAAGAAAGTTACCCAACAAAATTTTCTCGAAATTTTAATATTTTCTTGGAATACAAATGTCAGCAAGATTATTTACTTTAGGTAAAATATTCTTCCGTTAGAATATTTGCAATCTGAAGCAAATCCCAACGGAATTTCTTGAAGTTTTTTTGTGAACAGCACTAATTGAAGATTTTTTTTAAGAAATATAATTCAGCCAATTTAAATATAGTAATGGACAATGCCATCGATTGTGTTTTGACCACCTCGGTCATAAATTTCTAACATAGTACATTGTATGTGGTATGGAATGTTTTTTCATTATCCAGAATTAATTTCGAAATAATAATGTTCCCGGATGTGAAAAATACAAAAAAAATACTCAAAAAATATTCTATAGTTTATCAATAAGTTGATCAGCAATTTGCAAGAGCTTTAAAATACAAATTGTAGTTCTTAAATATCAAAAATATTTATTGTTCTTTAAAATTAATTTTACACATATTTCTAAAATTTTAAAAATTTTATAATTCAGAAGAATGTATTTTAGGACAATGTCAAATGAATATTTTTGTATTTCCATTAAAATTTTCCTTCAATGTTCCAAATCGACCCAATTCTCTTTTTTTCGTTACTATAGTATTTCCGTTGAATTCTTTTATTGAAATCTAAAAAAATTTTTTAGGGATAATTAAAAGGATAATTAAAAGAAAAAACTGCTTTGTAGCCAGATTTTTCAATACCCCATAATAATTGAAAAAAATAGCATGACATGCATTGTACAGGAGGGTAATTCTTACTGAATGAATGCGGGGAGTCATTAAATTTAAATGTTTTCATATTTCAAATTTTTGAATAATTTTCAATAATTTTAAATCTTAACTCTTAATAATGTAGCTCTAAATAATTCATGAGAGAATATAGAAATTTCATACAGCGAGAAATTTGATTAGCTAAAGACATTCATGACTTATTAAGAGCAAATATTTCAAGTTTATAATTCAATTATAAATTTTAGTTATGGCACTCTCAGATCACAATTAACTAACAGTCAACTTACATTATAAAACCCTAAATACTTACAAGATTGACTTCATTTTAAATCACAGTATGAATGGAAGCCAGTAATTTTATAATTTGTTTTTAAATCCCTCCACAAGAATATGGCACATGGACAATTAATTTCAATTGCCTTTGTTAGTTTTTTATCATTATCATTGCAAATATTTTTTTTTCCATATTCTTTCAAAAAACAAAAAACTATTCCATAATGCAAAAATTATCTGTCATTTCACTTTAATTTTTAATCTACCATAAAAATAAAGGGTATTACAAAAAATATTGTTCGAATAAGGGGAATAAAATGACAACAAAGAAATCGAATAATCAAAAGATAAGAAGAGAAAAGTGAAAAAAAATCTGATATTTAAATGAAAAAAAAAATGCACAAAACATTGACTATTTAGATTTGCAAGTTTCGATTAAATTACAGCTTTCGTGAAATGTTAAAACTACAATAAGATTAAAGACTTCCGATATGTCAACATCTTATTATTGTGAATTTTGAATTTAACCTTTTTGATTTCTTTCACAGAAAAAGAAAAACGACAAAATCAAAAAATAGAAAAAGAAAAAAGATACGCTACATTTTTAAAATTAAATGTCAAATTTAACAAGGCAAAGGTAATCAATCTTTTTACCACTTAAACATCAGTTAATCTAATAACGAAATGAAAAAAACGGAGGCAGCTTATAAAAATTGCAACCAAAAAAAAACCAAAAAAACCCAAAAAGCAATGAAATGAAAAACTTTTTTTAGTACATTTTCTTTCAAAAATGAAAATGAAAGACAATGTCTTTAGTTTATTAGGTGTCCGAGCGTCTTGTCATTCATAAATGTTTCACGGCATTCAATTTTGAAATTAGCATATAAACTCATGTACGCATGAGTTTATACGCTATATATAATCCCAGCTCTACACTTAGGATTAAATCATTCAAAACCTTAGTGACTGTATTTTTGAGAAAACGTATTTATGTTCACAATTTGAAACCAGCTACATTCGCTGATGCAGTGTTTTTACTCCAAAAAGGAACAAGTAGTTTTCAAAGAAAGATTAAAATATTCGATATTTTCTTAAATTTGTTATATAAAGTTCGATATTATTTTTTATTCATGCAAACCAAATTACGCAGTAACACTTCTTTATGCGCCTAAAACAAAAATGTGCTTCTTTAAAAGTTCCAATTTAATTCAAACTTGTTTTAATTCAACATCAATACTTTGAAATCAATACCTTTGGAAAACTGTGAAAAATTAAGTTGAAAGAAAACCGAGAAAAGAAAAAAGAAATGTAAAAAAAATGTAAAAAAAACCAAAATCACTAAAATTGGAAGCAGCTACTCGACATTTTTTGTTATGGTGCAGCAGCATTGAAAATTTTTTGCATTCATAAATAAATTTAAGAAAAAAAAATTGCATATTTTTGTTTTCTTTCTTGTTGCCATTTGCAATTTCTTTAAACGAAAACACCTCTTAAAATGTCTAGTTAAGACAAATTATGAGAAATCTACATGACAGTTAAGTTTTGTATTTAACTAAATATTTACAAAGCCGATGGTCTCTTTAAATATTCTTGTATATTTTTTATTATAGTTTCAGTTCTTATAATATACAAAATAAAGGAAAATTCAAACTAAAATCTATCAAATATTTTTATTATTATAACAGAAATTTCTGGAAATTAATTTACCTTCTTAATGAGTGTAAAGCCTCATTAAGAAGGTAAATTTATTTACAGCTAGTGTAAATAGCTGCTAGATAGGTTTCGACTCAGTGTTTTAGTCATGATAAGTAGAAGGAAGAGGGCACAATAGATGCTTCGGTGTATTATTACCATATGTCTAATCTAAAACTGGATATTTAAATTAAAAATCATGATATTTACGGTCAAAATTACCCTGTTTACGGTCAAAATTACGCTATTTTCACTGAAAGATTTTTAAAATTCTCAGTTTAATTGTAATTAATTTACACAGAGCTACTTTTTAATTTCAATCATACAATTTGTTCTTTGTTATGCCTTCGAGTATATTTTGCAGCCTTTTTTTATCATCAGCCCTTTAAAGTAATTTTTGGTGCAATAAATTTTTACATTCAACTTAGAACTTGCCAAGCAGGCAGTATACTATAATTGTCACTCTAAACAAATTCGCTTCTTAATACCATCGAAATTTTACCATAATACCGCAAGATGGTTTCATATTACTGTATATATAAATTTATTATGTGCATATTTTGACGTAAATATTTTTTAACCTGACAGCATTTTATTCCACCTTCACTTTTTCATTTAAAATTCATATTTAAAAAAATTTAAAGTACATAATCTTGTGTATACAACAAGGGATACAAAAAATATGTTTTTCATTTTCAGCGATTAATCGTTTTCCTGTCTTTTAAATTAAAAAATTGAATCGAAAGTGAAATTCATAAAACTAAATATAGATAAAGAAAAAATTACTTTAAATCTTGCCATTATATTTTATGAACTAGAGTACTTAAACAGTATAGAAGATAATTATTCAGTAAATTAAATTTAATGTGGTTAAACAGAAGTCATCGTAAATTAAAATTATACCAAGCAAGTTGAAATTTATTTAAAGTGTTACAACACTTTTCAAAATTGCCATTATACATAATTTTTTTTTTGCGAACAATAAATATGTCAAATAAAATTTAATGATTTGTTGTATATAAATGAAAATTAACCAGAAATTTATTGTTTAATTCAAATTGTAATGATCAGAAGAACGTCAAATATTTAACAAGCAAATAAGGAGTTTTAGATAATCATTATTAAATTTTTGATAGAGGGCAAATGTGTTACTATAGGTTATTAATAGTACAAAAAATATAGAAAATTCAGAGCAAATTATTAAATGCTTGTAGATTTATTCACATGAGATTTAGCTGCCTAAATTTTTAATTCTTTTTAAAGTTAATTTCATGTAATCACAATTTATCTCATCATTTTAAAGTTGATAAAATATTTTAGAGAAGAGAATTTCGTTAGTAGCTTCCTTCCGCACAACGGAAATTTTAGTTTCTTTACTTTTTTTTCTTGATTTAGTCATCATCGTAATGAAATTACCATGGAGGCGTAATGTTAAGTAAAATTTAGTTACAAAAATTTCCGGCTAAATTTTGATTACCTAAAATATTATCATATTTTTTAATGGCATTTTTTTTAAATGAAGAAGAGAGGCATTTTTAATTCTTACTAAAATTAAAATATCATTTAATTGAAGGCTATTCATTTCTATAATATAAAGTCCAAGTAGATTATTTTTCACTGAAAATATTCCTTTTTGAGGTTAAAATAATGAAATACTGATATAACACTCTTAAAATACTTTTATATCGTTGATCATATTTGCACCTTTTAAGTGAAATTTTACATCATAGGCAGCGTATGTGATTATAGATATTAGATTCATACACTTAATACTGGTGTACATATTATTATACAAGTGTACAAAAAATATTATACAAGTGTAGTGCAGGAGGTGATATTTTGATATATAATTAAAGCTATAAAAAATTCATTGCACTTCTTATTGAACATATATTCGATTTTGCAATTTCTACACCAATGATTAGCAATGAAAGAAAACAATGATTAGCCATCTATCTTTTAAAACAGGTAACAAAAAACAGAAATGTTTTGTATTAGCAAAAGCAAAAAATTAATTAGCACCTTTTTTTTAATTTGAAATTGTTGATATTAAGTTGGAAACAGAACAAGAACGGTAAAATCTTTAAATTCACATAGAATACACATATTTTAATTGGACTGGAGCAAGTAAAATTACCACCGTGAATTTAACCTTCGGTGATTAAACACCCTAAATACCCACTTTTCCGCTGTCAGTTTTTTTGGACATAATCTATTTCCATATATGTGTTTGATATTATATGTAAAATACTGAACAGTTGATATTGTCGTTCCGCTGATGTTGTAGGTTAATAACAGGAATCGTCCGCTATTACCGTTACCTAGGTTGACAAATAGATTTTAAATTTAAATTTTAACTTTTAATTTTTTTAAATTATTTGAAAAAGATGTGAAATTCATCACAATTTTTAATTTTGTACGTGAACACCAATGTTAACCAAAAATTTTGTAGCTGCGTTCAAAATCATTTGACATAATATTGTCAATTTATTGTTTATTGACAATAAATTTGACAATTATTATTGAGTTCATTGTGATTTGCAGAAAAACTTTTATAATTTGTAAAAAAATATCAAGAAAACTATGAATAAAAATCAATTGATTTGTTGTTAGACGTTTTATTCATCGCATTTAATTCATTTTGTTTTAATTAATTTTTTGTTTGTTTGTTTGTTTGTTAATTTAATTTCATAATTTCTTCATTATTGTTTTTTAATATCGTTTACATTTATTTCTTGTTTTGTTTTTTTTTTTGCACTAGTTAAACATTTAATTTATTTTTTTTAACAGTATTTTTAAACTTTTATATATATATTTTATATATATATATTTATTGATTTTCTTCTCATATATATTGTTGATTTCTTAGTTATAGTTTTGATTTTTTTTTTCTGTTTTCTCTACAATTTTTTTTTGTTATTTCATTTATTATTGAAATTCATTAATTATTAATTTGTTTTTTTTTTTTATGTATTAAATCACTTTAAAACAGTTTTACAATTTTTACATTAAATCTAAAAATTTTTTTATATTTTTGTTATTTTTAATTGGCCGTATTTTAATTAAACATTAAAAATTAAAATTTATCAACGATTTTGAATACAAATTTTTCATTTTATATTTTTCTTTTTTTTTTTTTTAAATAGGATAATTGACTTTTGAAGAAAAATTTTTCATAATTCTAAATTTAATAAGAATTGAAGTAGTTTTTGTAACAAAAAGATATTTAACAGAGATTTCTGTTATATTTTATTGATTGAGAATTTTTCAAATATATTTTTATATTTTAATTTTATTTATTTTTTATATTTTGTCAATATTTTATAGGAAAGGTCTTGAAGGGAAAATGGACACAATATTCTTGTTTTGTATTTAATATGACAGTCTGTGACATAATTGTATAATAGTAACTTAGAGAATAATATACTGTTTACAGATATATATATATTACATGATTATACACTAATGGTATCCAAAATTTTAATATTTAAATTAAATTTTTAAAAAATCGCTGCCGTAAAATTTTTTAAGAGTAAATATTAAGATAAGAGTTTGAGAACAGTTTTTTTATCTTTAAGGTAACACTATAACTGTCATACTTGCTCTTTATATTATTTAATAACTGTAGATAGAGAATTATTAATCGATTTTTTTGTCTATTTAATTATGGTTTCTTTACTTTAGAAATCCATTGTGTTATTGATATTGTTCTTGTAAATTTCAATTAGAAAATGTTCTGTTCTGTTTCAATTAGAAATTGTGTTTCAATTGACTGTTCTCAAATCAAATTTTTTTTTTTTTTTTTTTTTTCCTTTGTTCACTCCTAGAAGGAGCATAGGGCTAGTGCATGATTTCTCATGGACTAGTTTCATAGCGTCATAGGGTTTAACTAGGTAGGTGACTAGCCTGCCGTAGTTTTTATTTATATAAATCAAATAAGTATAGTAAAATAAAACTGTTCCTAAATAAATCACAATCTTAATTCTATTCCGAATTATTAAAGATTTTATTTGACAATATTTTAGAGTTTACAATTTGTTTTGGAATAACTAATTTGTTATTTATTTTATATATATATTTTGTTATAATATACATGTACATATACATACATATATGTATGTACTTTTGCACATATAGTTATACACATATGTATATAGGAGTATATAGGGAAGAAATGCAATTTTTATCTCATATGGAATTTTAAAAGTTACACTGCTATACTTTTTACTTTTTTTGATTTTTTTTTAAATATTTTTGAAACCTATTTATAAAAAATTGAAATTTGCATATAATTAGAATTTTTATATTTAATTATATAATAAATATTATAAAATTTAATATTTTTAATTTTAATTTATTTTTTCTAATTATAGGGTTATTTTAATTGAGAACAAAAAAACAAAAATTATGAAATTTTTTGTTAATTTTTTTTTTATTAATTTTATAAATTGTATTTATTGAATTTATTTCAATTTTATGCTTTTTAAATTAAATTTTAATTTTTAAAAAATATATTAATAAAATTTAATTGTTATATAGATTTTTATAATTTTTATATAATATTATGGATTCTTTTGAGAAACAAAAACATTGAATTGATTATAGAATGTTTTTTTTTGGTTATTGGAAAATTGGTTGGAAATTTTATAGGAAATTGTATTGGAAATTTTGTTTTTTTTTTTTTAAATTTTGAAGAATAATTTATTAATTTTATTATATATATTTTATAATATTATTATTAAAATTGAAAAATATATTTTTTTTTTCGTTTGCTTATTAAATTTTTTCTCTTTTTTTGTTATATATTTAGTTATTCAAAGAATATAATTATGTACTAAAGAAAATAAAATTCAAATTAACAATTTATTATTAATTAACAAATTATTATAATAAGCATATAATTTCTTTATATAATAAAATTGTATATATAAGTTACAAGTTTAATTTGTTTTTTAGTTCTTTTTTCAAAATTTACAAACAGAATCATGTTAATTGTTATATAATGATAATGACGAATAATAATTATATTTTTAGTACATTTTAAAATATTTTTTTGGTTTGTGTATTTTTTCTTTTTATTTAGTAGTATAACATCAAACAATTTCAGATATTCAAGAATAAAAATTTTTTTTTTTTAATATTATAAGGGTAAACGTTTTATAATACATATATATATATATATATATATATATATATATATATAGAATTATTTTGAATAAAATTGAATTTTATTATTTTAATGAACCATTTAAATAAAATTTTTGTAATTTTGAAGAGATTAATATTAAAATTAAATATTAAAATTAAATATTATTTTTATATATAATATGTATATGTGTATATATGAAATACAATTATAATACATACAGACAATATAACAGTGTTATGTATTCATTAAATTTTTTATATTTCATTTTTTTTGGTTTTTGATTTCTTATATTTTCTTGTATTTTTAAAAGAGATTCTGATTCTAATTTTTATTAAATATTTAGTTATATAATATGTAATAAATATATATATGTATAAATTTTAAATTATATACGCATGTGTCTATAAAAATGCATTCTTTCTTAATATTTTGGTTGGCGGAATATTTTCCACGAAATTCATTTATTTTATTTATTGATAATTAATTATTACGATATGAATACTATTTAGATAAGAAAATAATCTATTATAATTAATTTTCATATATAAATTTATATACGATATTATATTTTATTGTTATATTACTCATTATATTTTATTATAAGATTTTATATTGTTTTAAATTAAATAAATATTTTTCTTGTTTTTATATTAAATAATTTGTTATAATTATATATATATATATATATATATAGGACCACAATTATTATAATAATTTAATTTTTGAACATTTTAATTATATTTTTTTTTGATTCTTTGATTGAGAAAATCTCAATATAATAGGTAAATGAAAATTTTTGTATTATATTATTTTTGTATTAAAGCTTTATCTTGTACATATTTATTTATTTTGTTATACAATATATATGTATATATATAATTTTTTTTCTTTTATATTTATATAATATATATAAAAAGTAAAACATATTAATAATATTTTTAACATTTTATATTTTATAATATTGTGTAATCTATGACATCACAAACAGGACAATAAATTCATTTTAGTTAAATTTTTGTTTTGATTTGTAATAAGAAATGTTGCGTTTATTTTTTTTTTTTTTGTTTTTTCATCATTTAAAAATTAATATTATTATTATTATATTAAATGATAATTTTTATTTTATATTAATAAAAATAAAATAAAATCATGTGAAATTTCATTAAATTTTGTTTTTAAGTACCTTTATAGATTTGTAATAATTCTGTCAATACTCTCAATTTAAGAACAAAATACGGAAACAAATATGTCAAAGTTGTTTTAGACCGTTTCAAATTGACAAATTGAAATTGATAACATTTTACAAATAAAATTGTTAAACAGAATTTTTTTATGCACAATCATGAATAATGTCAAAATAGAAAGTAGTTGCATTCATTGTCGCAAATAGAAAGTGATCAGCATTTGTTTACATTTGATCGAGTACATCTTTTAAAAATTGAATAGCTTAAACTATAATTTGTGTTTTGTCAAGTTTAGGAATTTAATTAGAATTTTTAATTTTGTATTTCAACTCTTTAAATATTTTCGTATTTGAAAATAAAATTATTTTTACTTTAATATTGTTTTCTGGCAAGAAATTGTTACCAGATTTCAAAGACATTACGTAGTTTAAGCTATTCTAATTTCTAAGTTATATTTTATGTCAATTTTGTCACTTAACGTTAATTGAGAATATTTTCCAATATTATAACAGTTTTGCTTTTATACATTTGTGATTTATTATAGCAAATTTCATTTTTAAAAAAATTTAATTATTTGGTCATATATAATTTGATTGTTTCTAAAAATTATAAATAAATCAATAATTTTCTCTTTGATCAAACTTTCAACAAAACGCGCAATATTTTAGAAAATTTCTTTAAAATTTTTTAATTTAAAATTTAAAGAAATTTTTCCAATAAATTGTGCTACAATTATGGAAATTTGTAATAATTGACAAAATTGTATATTAAATTTTAATATTAAAAATAAAATAAATAATAATAGATTTTTAAAAGCACATTTTATTAATTAAATAATTTTTCGATAAATATTCATATATATAGAATATTAAATGTTATATCGCAATATAGATATACAAATATATTTATGATATTTATTTGGTATATTTTAGTATTACATTAATTTTCGCCTTCAATTATATATTTGCAATAATTTTTATTATTATAGCTAAAAATTTATCATTAATTTTAAAATTTAAATATTTTGTTAAATAATAAATTCCAAAATTTTCCTTGCATACTTATAGGTTTCATAATATTCAAAATTTAAATATGATTTCTTTTGATTTACAAGAATTTTGTTTTTTTTTTTTAAGAAAATATTTGTCACGTTTATAAATTTTGAATTCAATTTAAATGAATACAATCAATATATATGTATATAATTGACATATATATATATAATTATTTTTTTTAATAATGATTTTCTGCTGTTTCATTTTTTATTCTGACCATAATAAATACAATTTCGCGATATTAAAATTTTTGGAACATCAATAAATTTTTTTTTTTTCAAAGAGACAAAACAAAATTTTTTAGACATTTAACATTTATTTATTTGTATATGTATGTATTTCTTATTTTATTTTATTTATTATATTTTAAAAATGTTATACACAAAATTATCTATATATTATATAAGATAATATACGTTTTTTTTTTTGTTGGTGAAACAAAGAAAAAAAAAAGAAATTTTCTTGTTGCTGTAGTTGTTATTATTGTTGTTGTTGTTGTTGTATTTCATTTTTTAAAATTTATGCTATACATTATACTACATATATATATATATATATATATTATTTTATCTAAGGTACATTTACTCACTTGTGAATTAAAATTTTCAAAAATTTTATAATTAATTATTATTTAATTTTTATATTTTTGGATTTCGATCTTATGGCAATTTAAAAAGTACAAATTTTCTTTTATTTTTTTTTTCTATTTAATTGAATTTTTTCATAATTTACTTTTTTTTTTGTATTTCTCTATATATAATAATTATGTTTCTTTTTTTATTTTTTAATTTTAACACTATATTATTCACAATATTACAAAGTTTTCACTGTTATTACTTTTATAATAAGTGAACGTCATCATTTTGTTAAATTTCATTAAATTTTTTTATTACAATTACATATTTAGTTTTCGAATATCTAAAAAACAAAAAAAAAAAATAAAACAAAATAAATTTAAAATTCGAGACATTTTTTTATTTTATTTAATTTTTATAATAAATATTTTCTGGTTTGTTACATAATTGATTTTTTTTTTCTCTGAAAATTTAAAAACTTTTTTTTCATATATATAATATTTTTTTTTATTAATTTATTTATATAATTAAAATACTCATTTTTTATATAATCGCTTTTATATATAAAGATATATAATATGGTAGTTAAATTTTTTAATTTTTCTTTATTAATTACGTTAAAATGAAAGTTTTCCAAAAATGAAATTGCCGGGAGCATTTTTATCCTCAGCAGAAAAATATTCTTTCCACAAATCAGCAAATTGTTCACGAGTAACTTCTTCTGCACCCTGTTGCAATGAAAATTGTAAATAGAAAAAATTTTTTTAAAATTAGTTATTTTTTTTTTAATAATAAAATTGTAGTTTTACATGGACAAAATAAAAGTACACTGAAAATAACCAGAATTAATCGGAAATGTCAAAATAGAATTGAATTCGATTCAATTATACGTAATAGAAATATAATCGATTAGTTAATTCTAATTTGATAATGCAGTTTTAAATGTCAATCAAAAGTTTTGTTCTTAATGTCAAATTATCTTAAGAACTAAAGCAATATAATGTGTTATGAGTAATAGTAGTACCATGTGTCATTGAGCAAAAATAGAAATAATGAAAACTGTTAAACTATGTTCATACATACATATGTATGTATATTCGGGCAAATAAAATGTGGAATATTGACACTTTGTTCTTATAATTAGAATAGCGAATAATCAACTCAATATAATATACAAAATCAAACCTCATATAAAATGGAAATCATATATGAGAGCGCTTTCAGATCAAATGAAAAAAATTTGGTAATTTAAGAGCTCATATTCAAAAAATGAACACTTGCTATTCTCATTCTTTCATTTAATGAGTTTTCAAACTTTAAGTGATATACTATATAAAGAAGTAGTTTGTATAAAATAAATAGTTAAAAAACTTTCAATTTTCTCTTTGACATAAAGAATTCTATGAAATATGAAATTTCTTTTCCGAGAGCGCGATCTGAGCATACTCTGACGGTTTTAAATTAAAAAAAAAAACACACATTTTTAACTTACAGCGCTCCGAGATAAAAAATCAACTCGAATTTATATTTTTAACAGATCTGAATCTGGTCTAAATTAACAAAAAAACCGAAAATACTCTTTGTTTTTTTAAAATTAAACTATTTTGGGACGTTATGAAGACATTTCTATTTTTATTCATATAGATTTAATTAGTTATTATTTTATAATATAAAAAAATAAATTTACCTGTGACATTTTTGTGAAAGCTTGTTCACATTCAGATTTATCTAAGCCATAACTTGAACAAACGAGAGCAAATTCTTTTGCATCGATTGCACCATCATTTGATGCATCTTCCAAATCAAACATAAAATTCATGTATCTGAAAATAAAAGTATAACAATAATTTATGTTAACAATATAACAAATATGGTGCTATTACAAAATTTTGAATTTATTTTTAAGAGCATTTGTTTTATTTCATTTATAGGACTATATCAAGGTACTATTTAAGAGGTACTATTTTAAATTATACAATTAAATAGAAGAGTTCGATTAGTTTTAGCTTTATCTAAAAATTAGCTGTGTTAATACCACCACGAGTTTTCATTCGAGTACAGTCAAATTTTCATTCGAGCATTTGTAAACTTCCTGTTACGTAAACAGTCAAAATAAATTTTCGTTGTTTTTTTAATAAGTCAAAAAAAAAGCTTTTATGTTGTGAATATGCATTCAAAGTAACTTTAGCGCTCTGACTTTATTCTTTCCGTGTTTATTGTTGAAATCATAAAAAAAAGTACTACAAGTGATTTTTTTTCTCCAAAATTTTTGTTTTTAATTAATTTCTTCAACAATGAACTTATATGCAGTCATGCTTTCAATAACAATGCTCTCTTTTTCTTTTTCTCCCCCCTCCCTTCTGATTTTCCTTTCTATTTTTCGAACAATTTTAAACGCCATATTTTCTCGTTTTTGTTGTCTTTTCTTTTAAATTGTACAAAGTGTAAAAAGTTCTTGTATTTCAACTTTGTTTTAAAATTTTTCGATATTAAAAAGTTACGAAAAACATTTTTTTTTTTTTTTGGAAAATAGTCCATGTTAACGTCATCAATCAAAATCATCATGATGTGAAAAAGTTATGTTTACCCTCTAAACGTAATATTTGCATTATACTCAAGGATACTAGATAAGTTTTACACCTGTAGCTTTGGTTTTAGATTTCAAAAACAAAATTTCAAAAAAAAATTTCCAAAATTTTCTTCAACTGGCAAAGCAAACTTTGCAAATTTAGTCCAAAAGGGTGAAAATTAAAATTTTTTTTTCATGCCAAAATAAATGCAATTTTTATTTTAGTTTTAATGTTTCTCTTTCTTTTACAAATTTGAAAATAAAAGCACGTTCCGACACACTACGTATAATTATTCTGTCACGTATAAAAGGCAAAAAAAAAGAAAACATAACAAGAAAAAGATCTAGAACATGAATGGGAAAAATCCCCCGTCATATCTAATAAACGTTTTTGTTTTCACTGTTTTTTTTTTTGGAAAACTTTACCTTTAAAAAAATTCAAAATTGGCGAAAAAATTTTTTTATAGTCGTAGCAATAAAATGTGTGTGTATGTTTACCGTTATATCGTATATATGGGAAAATTAACACATTTAAAGTATACAATATTGCTAAAAATTCGGAATTGTGTTAGTTTTATGAACTAGATAAAGTTAAATAGATTTAACCTATTAAATTCATTATGAAGTACGTTTCTTTGTGTGAACATACGTTGTGTGCCATGCATTATAATTTTTTTAATATCGTAAAAATATTTTACCTTGGCGTGTAAAATAAATTCGTGTACAAGGAATAAATGTTGTTTATCTAGAGTAATAAGGTGAAAATTGGCACAAATTTTTCGGCTAAATTTTAATTAAATTTCACACTATTTAAATAACACTTGCACTTTTGAATGCAAGATAATGATAACAAAGTAATTTGCCACTTGAATGTTTATTTCTATTCAATGGGTGACTTGTTATTTGCCATTCCAATCGAAAGAAATGGATTTCTTGAGTAAACTTCAAATTTGTAAATAAGAGTTTATTCTAAGAACCTGGAAAATAGGAACCTAAATGGCTGAAAGGGTGCAATAACCGAAAATTTTGGATCGAATTTCAATTCGTCCAGATTTTATTGAATTTAAAATATTTTTCAAATTTCTGAAAATGTCAATATTGTTCTTGAACTTTTAATCTGTTATTCTGAATCTTTGGAATCATTTTAGTAACAATTCTTCAACAATATACAAAATTGAAGTATCGAAAACATTCTACTATTAATCCAATCATTTATGATTTTGTTAAGAAAATTGGGATGATTTGAAAGGTTGAGGCTCCAAAAAGCAAATGGAATTTACTTAGAAAATTTGCTTTAAAATCTTCGTTTTTCAAACTCGTTTCGTGTTGTTTTAGCTGGCTAAAATTTCAAATTTGCTTTAAAATCTTCGTTTTTCAAACTCGTTTCGTGTTGTTTTAGCTGGCTAAAATTTCAAATTTGCTTTAAAATCTTCGTTTTTCAAACTCGTTTCGTGTTGTTTTAGCTGGCTAAAATTTCAAATTTGCTTTATTTAATATTAATTTTACAAAACAAAAAATTAGGAAAATGAAACTGGTTTATTGGTATGTTCAAATCAAAAATTATATCCGGTCTTCAAAAATCAATTAAAGTACTCTTAAAAGAAACTTTATGTGATTGTCCTAGCAATATGAAATTCAACTGGTTGCTAAAATTCATTATAAAATTTTAATAACTTCTATCTTTAAAAGTTCTTGTGTAGCATGTCTAATGTTCAAAAATAATAACATCAAATTTATATATGCAAATTATACACAGAGAAAAAGCAATGTAGGGTTTGGGTCTTAACATTAAATCATTAGAATTCTCTATTAAATAACGCAAGTACACTGAGAAAAATTAAATGATCAAAATAAATGGTCGAAATGTTTCGGATATTGTGGTTGATATGAATTACTGTTGAAGAAATTTTTCTTCTGCATTTTTAAGTCCAATTTACACGAATTCAGAGCCACACAGTCATTCACTTTAAGGAATTTTTCACAATTAATTTATACACTTCACCTTACAATTGCTCTGTTCTAAATTAAAACATTTTTGGGGCAAATATAACTTTTATAAAACTAAAAATACAATATCAGATTTTTTCGTTTTTTTGCCAAAAAATTCTAAATATAAAAAATTCTTCAACAAATGAATTAATTAAGAAAAAATTCTTTTTTTTGGAACATTTTGATTTTCTACACTCAAAATGCATGCATACTAAAAGCATATATGCACACATAACATTGTTATCACTCACATGTTATTAGATGCTCTCATGTCCTTCTTAAAATTTTGCAAAAAAAAAAATAAAGGATTCCATTAAACTAGAATGAAAACAATAAAATTATAAACAAGAAAAAATAAGAAAAAAAAATTTTTAAATAAACATAAATTGCAAAAACAATTATGTCCTTTTTATTCAAAAATCCTTTCAGTTAATGTCCTTTTTTATTTTACTCTCTCTCTCTCTCTCTCTGTTCATTCCCTTGGGTGAATTAAGAAACACAAAAAGATGAAAAATAAAAAAAAAAAAAAACTAAATAACAAACAAAAAAATTTTTTTTTTTTCAGTTCAAAGGGCAACGAAGTGCATGGATGATTCTTGATTTATAATTTATGGTGGACTTGAACCTGTCAGTAAGATTATAAATGCATATTATATACGTATGTGTGTACTTGTTAGGAATTTGTAGTTTGTGTGTGTATGTGCTGCAAATGTACATAATAAAGAGGATTTGGGTACATGATTTTTGTTTTTTTTTGGGTATTATTTTGTGCTGGTTGAGATTTTGTATTAGAAAAGTACTTTATAAGTTAATTTGAATCGAATTTATTTGAAAGGTGAATGGAATTTAATTTAGAAAATATCTTGGATGTAAAACATAATTTCTTCACTTCTTATTAAGTACAGTAGGAGTACATATTCTTTTTTGGATTTTTTTATACAAGATGCTTATATGCCTTACTCAATTACTTTTAACATCAATCTTTGAATATACATGTAGATAAATTAAATTGAATGGTGCAGGATTTTTTTGGGTTATTTGATTTTTGAACATTGAGCAAGCGACTGAATAAATTGATTTTAAATTAATCGAGTTTTATCGAGATATTTTCAAAATTAAGTGAGATAAAATTTTTGCAGTTTATAAAAAAAAACCACTAAAATTCAAAATTTCAACTAATTTTAAAAATAAATGCCAAACTCAGTTTTTCTAAATAAATTTAAATTTTCAATTCGATTTTTTACGAATAATTGTAGTATTTTTCATATTCATGCATAATTTCAAAATTTTATTTCAGGTACATGAATCGAAATTTAAAAGAATGTGGACTAACCTATGGAATACTTGAATTTGCAACAATACAAGAAAGCGTCAAATTAAATTTATGCAGTTTTTACTTGTTACCACAGAATTACTGTCAATACTTGAATTCAAAGAAAATAGGTAAACAATTGCAGTATTACGTATACAAGATTGTAAAAGAAAATTATTTTAGAAAATTTTAGTTCAACTTGGATTTCTACCATTGCATTTCATTTTTATTTTTTTGTAAAATTGACTGCGAGAACGTCCAAATGGAAAGTTTCATCTTGTGATATGATCTTTGTTTATATCTTAAAAACTCTATAGAGACTTGAAAAAGAGTCAATGTGAAAGGTATCTTCTTGCTTTCATTTTTTGAAGTTGTTCGACTTCAATAAATTCCATAATTTTTCGTCACAATATACTTAGAAAATTATGCCGGTAAACTCAATAACAATAAAAGGATAACGTTAAAACTCAGATCGTCCATTTCGTGTTATGAATTTTTTAAAAATATTTCGAAAAAATTTATTTTTTTGTTATACAATGAGTTTTGAATATCTTTTATTGTTTTCCAGTGACGCATCTGTCATATATGGCAGTAAACTTTTATTTTAAGTATTTTTTTAATGACTGGCGGCGCTTTTGAAAACATAAAAAAAAGTCTAAATTTTAAAAAAATTTAAATTTTTTTTTCAATTTTTTTTTCATTACGTCTTTTCTAAAAATTTTTTATTTCTATGAAATTTTAGAAACCACGTAGGGCACCGAACAAGTGAACTCCGGGCCTGTTGTTTTCTAATTCTCTTTGTGTTAAAACTTTCAATAATTCAAATTTTGACAAGATTCAATAAATTTTTTAACAAATAATTATTTTGTAATTACATGCAAAATGCTTTAATTGTCTTCATTATTACTCTAATAATTATTACTACTCTAAGACTAATAATAATTATTAAATTA